ACATTTTATAAAATGACTTTTTCGTCCCTCACTTTTAAAAGTGTAATTTTATGTCCCTTACATATTCACATCGGTCAAATTTAGTCCTTAACTAGGTTTCCAATCATTTTTTGGCCGGAATCCATCACGTGCAAGGCACGTGATCATTTTTTAAGGTTAAATTTGTCAAATTATATTTTACATAATTTGATCTATAGTCCTCCACATTTTATAAAATAAATTTTTTCGTCCCTCACATTTTATAAAATAAATTTTTTCATCCCTCACATTTGACAAAATGAATTTCTCTATCCCTTACATTTCAAAAAATGAATATTTCCATCCCTCACTAATTATGTATGTAAGGGAAATCCTAAAAAAAAAAATGTGTGTGAATACATTTTGTTTAAACACATGTATATGTCTATTTGATTTTGCTTAATAATACGAATAGCATAAATATATGTATGTGTATATTTGATTCACTTAACAATACGAATACCATATATTATACGTGATCATTTGATTTCATCTGGTATTAGCTAGTAAATAATCTTGCATTCAATGTCAAGTTGGCCAATAAAGTTATTTTCGGTCAAAATACAATAAGAATATGCAAATTAAGGTTCTGTTGGTAAATATTAGTCATAATCATACAAAAAGAGAAGATAGCCCACAAGTTGGGTCCAATTACATACATGTGTTTATGCTATTATTATTAAGTAAAATCAAATAAACATATACATGTGTTTAAAAAAATGTATTCACACACATAATTAGTGAGAAATGAAAAATTCATTTTTTTTTTTTTTAGATCTTCAAGTTTCATCATCTTCATTGCCATAAAAAATACAGTATTACATCAAGAGTTCTTAAAGTTCTTCAAACGAAAACGAAAAATTCATTTTTTAAAATGTGAGGGATGGAGAAATTCATTTTGTAAAATGTGAGGGATGAAAAAAATCATTTTATAAAATGTGACGGACGAAAAAATTTATTTTATAAAATGTGGAGGACTATAGATCAGATTATGTAAATATAATTTAACAAATTTACCCTTAAAAAATGATCACGTGCCTTGCACGTGATGGATTCCGGCTAAAAAATGATCGGAAACCTAGTTAGGGACTAAATTTGTCCGATGTGCATTTGTAAGGGATATAAAATTACACTTTTAAAAGTGAGGGACGAAAAAAGTTATTTTACAAAATGTGAGGGACGTTTTGGACGATTTTCCCTAAAATTTTCTAGTGTAGAATAGTAAGTTACAATAGAATTTTATATAAACATCCAAAAATACACCATCCAAACACACCCTAACATCCTCATATGTCTATCAGGTTTTTCTTATCAAGAGTATAACTAGTTAAGAGTTTGTGGCATTTACAACCGTTTCTAAATTATGTAAAACCATCTCACCAAATAATTATCATTATAGGTTATTTGTATAATTTTGTAACAAAGATGCAAAACTTCAGTGTTCATTTTGGAAATACATGCTAGTGGTATTAAAATTACGTGTTGTTACTTGGTTTGTATGTTTTAAATTTCATCTTATTGACAAAAATAAGAATAAAATACAAAAAATTAAAAATTAAAACAAAGTAGAAGATGCATAAAGTGTGTCTGGATAGTGTATTATTTAAAATATTATTTGAAATAATTACTATAATAATTTTTATAATGTTAATGTATGTAAGATAAAAACTTGGATGAAAATATTTAAAAATAAAACTAGTTGGAAAACGAGTTTATGAGCAAACAAAATAATATTTGAAAAAAAAAAGAGAAATAACTTCCATAGCTATAAGAATGGGAAAGTTTTTAAAAAATCTAAAAAATTAGAATGAGAAAGTTAAGTAGCACCATTTTCTAAAGCAACAGAGTCACAATAGAAGAATTATTACTGCATCCAGAACCCCAAAAAAAAATTAAAGAAAGGATGAAATCCAAGGTAGGTTACCAAGTCAAAGCTACCAAAATCTGAACTTGCAACATACTGTTAATGATTGACCGAGTCAATATTAAAAACTAATACTGAACTCCTTTCGGACTAAAGAACTAAGTCAACATACTATTTTTTTTTTCCTTTTTTGAGGGAACCCAATCTAAACTTGACTACTTGTGTCATTTTTCTTATTTCCAGTCTATTCTTTTTGTTGAAATACACACCATTGTCAATTGAAACAATTCAGATCGCAGGTCCAACTTTGGACTTTTCTTACCTGTAAGGCGCTCTAATCTAGAATCTAGCACTGAAGTCGTTGCTATTATTATTATTATTGACAAAATCAAGTTGTTATACTTTGTTATTTCTTTGGGTCAACTCCTTTTGTTGTTATTTTTGTATTTAAAAAAAAAAAGAAAATTGTCCCCTTATTACCTCCTTTTGTTTTGTTAGGTAAGGTATTCATTTTATTGATATAGCAAAAACAGAGCTTATTATGAGAAGTAGCAAAAGGCCAAACCAGCAACACTGTCCAAAGTGCACTAATTACAAACAACACCCAAGGTCACCAACTAAACAAACAGAATACTCACGGTAAGAATGTAAGATCAAAATTCCATGCTATACTTTGTTAGTTTAATCTTTTTCCAAGAAGCTACCACTGCTCTAACCTCAGTGCTAATGGGCTAATGGGCTGCAACATGATAGGATTAGCTTTTCTTCCTTAGTGAAAATTCTCTTGTTTTTCTCTTCCCATATATGATAGGCACAAAATGCAAGAGACGATCTGACTATTTAATCAAGAAAATTTTTCCTAACACAATAATAAAATCTGAGCCAAGACGGTTTAATATTCAAAGCATATGCTCCTCTGTATGGCAAATTCGAACTCTGCACACTTCTCTCCAAATATTTGCAGCATAAGTGTAATACTCATGACCGCGTTAACTTTATTTCATGGGTTAATTAGTGAAGGTTATATAATCTTGGAGGTTTATGTGATTAAGTTTAGAAGTTGGGGGACTAATTAATAATTTGAGCAAGTTTTTATATTGGAAGAATTTTGAGTTGGACCTCACTTTACTCTTTCGAACCCTTCCTAGTATTTCTCTCCAAAATGTCTCTTTAGCCCTTCTCCTGATCAAGGTGAAAGCTTCGCAAATCAAAGAGTTAAAACAAATGAGATGCTTGGTTTTTTTTTTTTTTTTAAGTGTAAGTTAGGTGTAAGTGTTAGTCCTCCCTAATACCATCCAATCCATCTCTCCTCTCAAGTAGTTGGATTTTCATTTTTGACTTCTTTAATAGGCCTTTTGCCTATTTGTTATTTTGTTGGCTAATTTAGTGGAACTATGTGGTGATTTTAGAAATTTTGTTGGCCTCTTAATCAAAAGTGAGAAGGGAAAACGAGCGAAAATCTTGAAGTTTGGATGAATTCTTATCAGTAGTTTGAGATGGCGGCTTTAAATTATTGAATATGCAAGTCCTAGAGTCTGGAGCTCGGTGATGGGCTCAACCCAGTGTCAGGCCGGTTCGTTCCTAATTCCCATTTCTTCATTTCCCTGTTTTTGGTCCGAAAATATTTCTTGTGCTCTTGTTAGTAATTGAAACGTTGATAATTTGGTCCATTATTAAGAATTAGAAATTAAATTAGGCTCTCGCTTTCATGGGTACTGATTCATTTTCACTAAGATAAGTAGTTTTAGTACTCTCTAATGAATAAAACAGTTTTGAATGCCTATGTTAATATGAAATTCAGCACGAATAGAGATACTTATAATTCCTTTGACTCATGAACTAATATGATAAGAATGTATACAAGTATTTATGGAATCTAGATGCCACATCTGTTTCGCACTTTGAGCTCGTGATTTCTTGTTAACTGTCATTAAAACTAATTAGTTCTATATTTTTGTCTGTCTGACCTACCTAGCGGGACATGGTGCCTTCAAGCCAAGAAGTGCTTGCCTGCCTAGCTGCAAGGTAGCAAAATGTCACAATCAAAAGGTACTTAGTGAGGGCAACAAGTGCTTAATGTCCTTTGTTTCTGAGACATTTGTTTTAGGAGTACTCCTACACCCTTTCATTTGCAAGCCTAATATGTCGTCTCTTTCTCTAAGATCAAACTTTTAAAAATGTTGTATTCGTGCAACACATATCAAGAAAGCTTATCAGAACAACTGAAGTTTAGATCCTTTTAGAACAGTTTATCATTACAACACAAGTAGCTTCCTATCCCCAGCAATCCCAGTTTCTTCTCCAAAGCTTAGGCACAATGACTGACTTTTTGTAATCAAATCATATGAACACTGAGACAATAATAGTAGCAATCAATAACAGTTAACCTATCCATAATTCAAAAGAAGGTGCCAATGGTTGTTACTTAGGCCCTGTTTGATAATCTCATTCACTACTGAAATTTAATGGATTCAGATCTTAACATGTTCAAACGCGTTTAATAACAAAAAATTGAACATTTGAATTAATTAAATGACACTGAATTTTCTAAGCAAAATTTGCTCCTAAAATTAAGTAATAAGCTATTCACTTATCACTGAATATGATAATACTCAAATGTACTAGATTTAATACTTAACAATTCAATAATTTAATGAATTCAAATTTCAGTTTTCAGATTTCAATTTTATCAAACGCACCCTTAATGTCGTAATGCTTCTTAAGAAGTTGAATTCTTCAACACAAGACAAAACCTCAACTTAAATAACTGAACCATAAAGAAGGAACACTAGTTCTCTTTCTTCGTAAGTATTTGAAAAGTATATCAGCTAGACCGCGGAGTATTCGCCTTCAATTACTCAAGCAGGCGGTATCCAGGAAATGTCATATTCTGCACGTTGATGAAAAGGAACTGACATGTTTCGAAGGAAAAATCCAAGGATAAAGAAAAAGGCCTATAGCCTACGTTAAACTAACAATTTGACTAGTCACAGCAACACTACTAGAAAAGATTGATCTTATGAATTTGGAGGAAATATTTAGATATACTCCTCGCTGTTTTAGATAACATAATAGTTTAAGAAAAAAAATATGTATTGGAGCTCAATTGTAGAAATTATTAAGTTAAACTCAAAGATTGATACTGGTATTACTATTATATATGAAGCTTATATCAAGGTGCTACCCTTCAGTTTATTGATAACAAACTGATATTTCAGTTTGCCATGTTATCTGGTACTAGGTGGCATATTTAAGAGTTTGAAAGACAAATCCAAATCCACTAGACAAAGATTTCACTGAAAGCACGAGTTCTACTTAGTCATCCATCTGCTCTATTTCTATAGCAACAAAGCTACACAGGGGCGCCGTTGACTCGTCAGAAGAACAACTATTACTGCTTCTTTGCATGGATATGGGTGAATCTGGAGGGTAAAACGACGGTTTAGGAGGCAACTTTAGGCCACTAGCATCACCTTCAAGCATATCTAAGACTTCTCTCATTGAAGGACGATCTTCAGGTGTCATTTGTATGCACCACAATGCAATCAGAATCAATTTTCGTGTAATTGTCTTTTCTTCTTCAGTTGCATGATCTCCGATTTCCATTTCCTCCACTTGATCGAATTTGTCATATATCCATGAAGGGAAGTATATTTGACTTGAATGCTTAGCGTGCGCATCCACATTTCTCCTCCTTCCTGCCATCTCCATTAGTAACATTCCATAGCTGTAAACATCTGTCTTGTGTGAGACTCTTCCAATTCTTTTGTAGAACAACTCCGGGGCCATGTAACCTAATGTTCCTCTCACAGCAGTAAGAGTTGCAATACTCTTTTGCATCGGGTAAAGTTTTGCAAGTCCAAAGTCTGAAACTTTTGGAACAAAGTTCTCATCGAGTAAGACGTTATGCGGTTTAATATCAAAATGCAGAATTTGCATATCACACCCCTGATGCAAGTATTCAATGCCACGAGCAACCCCTTTTGCAATCTCACAAACTTGTTTCCAACTCAATGGAGAACTATTTTGACAGTTTGAGAAAATTAACTTATCCAGAGAGCCATTTAGCATGTAATCATACACTAGAGCATGTTTTGAAGCAGTAACACAAAATCCCACTAACCGAACCACGTTCACATGGTGTATTCTTCCAATAGTTGCAACTTCATTGATGAACTCTTGCCCATTAGCTTTTGATTTGTTCAACATTTTGACAGCAACAGCATCTCCACTGCGCAATTTGCCTTTGTAAACCATACCGTAGCCTCCTTCACCTAGTTTTTCTTTAAAATTTTTCGTCATTGTCCTAATTTCTCTATATGAGTACCTAATGGGCATGAGTCTGCTGTTTGTTTGTAGGAAATCTTCTATTGTATCATACCTTGATAAATGCCTCCGATGCCACCTATAAAGCAGGAAAGCAGACAAGATGGCAATGCCAATGACACTTTTTGCCGTAATGGGTAGAACTGAAATCGAAGAAAAGAACGATTATATTTAGCAATGATTGATTTCTAGTATATATATATATATATATATGTATATATATAGCAATGATTGATTTCTAGTATATATATATGTATATATACGGCCAATGGATAGAGTTATCAGATGCCTTACCGAAAAATTTGACAGCAAAACCCACGCCAGCTGCTTATGAAAGAAAAAAGATGATAATCGAAATACTGAATTAGAAAGAATCTGACTGATTAAAGAATGGTTTTTTTTTTTTGGCATATTAAAGAAATAAGTTTACTCACTTCCGAATGTGTCAACGCGGTAGAGGATTGGACCTACATCGCCCAAGGAGAAAAGACAAAGTCAATGTCCAATTGGATGCTTGAAAATGAACTTTTATTAATTACTATTAATTCACCCTCATGTGTGTACAAGCTTCAAATCACTACGAGAACAAATTCAAATGAGAATTCAATAATTCATGTGTTTGATAGGATCATAAAATAAATAACCTTTCTAAAAAAGTTAACCCACACTCCTGCCTAAAACCCAATTATTCTAATTTGACTTAAAAAATCAAATGAAAAATTATGTGAGGATATACACAGCGATAAAGACAACTAGTAAAGAGGAAATAGCAGTAGCAAGGCTTCTGGTACTCTCCTTCCCCAAAAAAAAAAATAAAAAAAATTCACGTAATTAGTTTCCAAATTAAACAAATGATTTAGGGGAATCGGAGCTATTGATTGTGCCGTTATGTACCGTTATTTCTTGCAAAATGAATTTTTCATTTATTAGTTGCTATTGATTGTAAACACCAAATACTTTGTCATTAATTTTCCAGAAACAGAGATTCACGCAGTAGTAGTGAATACTTTTTTAAAAGATCATCATAATCAATCATCAATCACGATGTTGATAAATCTTCAAATCTGTGTACTTACAAAAAAAAGGATCTCCTCCTGCTGGTATACAAGCCTACGATCCAACGGATCTCATAGCCATTAGGCAGAAGATTGTGAATAGTAGTACTATCATATTTAGCCCCAAATGTACCAGTTCATATCTTAACTTAAAATCTTCCAATATACATTAATTCCCCCAAAACATAGTTTCAAGCATTAGTACTGAATACTTTTTGAAGGATCATCATAATCAATCATCAATCACGATGTTAATAAATTTTCGAATCAGTGTACTTACAAAAGAAGGATCTCCTCCTGGGATCGAAGCCTTCGTACCAACTGATCTCATAGCCATTAGACAGAAGATTGTGGATGTCTTGAAATGAAATATCTCCTGCTGTTACATTAGGGAGACACCGCAGATCTACAGGAGCTGTCTTATAGACAGTGCACGACTCTTCAATATCAGATGCCACAACATTTTTGCCCACCACAACATAGCTGTAATAATTGGACGGAGCTTTCATTTTTGAAAAATGATTTGCAGTGATATTACAGGAAGCAGTGTCTACATAAAGAGGAGGATATTTCGATTTCACCGGATTTTTACAGCTCACAAAGACCAACGAACCAGCATCGGGATCTATATCCATTATGGTAGAAGCCCCAACTTGATTTTGGTAGAAGTAGTAGTCGTTGTCGTTGCTTGGGTAGACTGGCAGGGTAGAACAGTTGTTCTTTTGCACCCCAGGATCAAATATACGAAGTGTCTGTTGCTCATAATCAATACTGTTCAACTCCACAGAAAAGTTATACTGCTGTATCCCCGGATAGGAACGAATACCCAAGGATAGAACAGTGCGATTATTTTCACAAGAGAATTGAAGAACATCCCTAAATTCAGGGCACAAATCCGGATCATCACCACTAAACTGAAACGGGCACTTTAAATTGGTGCCGGTAACCCCGCAGGTGGATGGGCTATGGTCACAGCTGGTGTCTGTCGAACTGAATAAATAAGGAACATGTACATGACAATGGTCATATATAAAAGAATAAAATTGGAACCCGGACACCAAGAAGTAAATCAAGAATAGGGACAACAAAACTACCAAAATCTGAAGTTGGAGCATACTTGTTAAACATTGGCTGACTGAATTTAAGAGGCAGAAGAAGAAGAAGAGCCGAATATATGTAGCAAACGGAGAAGGGGCTCGGATATATGTAGCAAACGGAGAAGGGGCTCTTTAGGTTGGTAAAGACTAAAGAGAGTAGGATCTAGGTCTCCAATCCAATAGGAATGCAAGCCAAAATTACTTTATTAATTTTCTCCTTTGGATACAGCCATTATTACTACAGAGTTATACTGCTATGGATTAACTCCTCCTCATTTTGGGTTCGGCGTGACTTTAAACAAAAAAAAAATGGTAAAATCAATTTTCTTCTTTATAAGATAAAAATGGTCCAACCGGTTTAACCGAAAATCAGTCAAACATTCAGTCCGAATTGCTCTAAAACTTGGATGACAAAAACTCGGTCAAGCCCGGGTCAAAACCGGATTTGACCGAAAACCAGTATAACCGATGTGAACCCGGTTTTTTTATTTGCCTTTTTTTTCTTTGCCTATCTAAATCCCTACTGATCTCTCACCTCTCTAGAAACCCATTTTCACCTCCTCAGCTCCTTCAATTTAGCCACCACAATCAGTGCTTGATATCTTTTTCTAAATAAGATTTAATCTTAGATATGGGGAAAAGACCAAAAAAAAAAAGGAAAGAGAGATGAAGAAAAGAGCAGATTGAAGAAAAAAAATAAAAGTTTGATTATTTGTTAGTTTTGAAAATAAATACCTAAGGATATAAGAATGGAAATCCTGAAAAGAAATAAGAAATAAGAATGGAAATAAAAAACTAAAAAAAAAAAGCAGAAAGAATGGACAAGACTAGCATGTCCACTTTGTTCTTGAAATTGCAGTTAGAACCCAGAACAGACAAGACTTCAATGTCTATTGTAAAGCTTACTCTTGCAATGAATCCATGTCAAGATAAATAAAAAATCAAGAGCATCGTAAAAAATTCGCTGGAAAAACTTAAAGATTGCTCAACCTCTTCGAATTCGTCCATCTCAAAACACTGGGGAAATGTTTCTCAAAACATTCGGAGTGGCTGCCTAAGAGCTTTTGCCATCGACGGGCTTGAGACCTGGGAACTTATGCTGCCTTGTATGTTCTATCCTTCTTTGGATTTAAAAAAAAAAAGAAAAAAAAAAGGAAGAGTGGAATGAACGGAGAACAGGAACAAGAAAAAGGTAGCATAATAGTAGAAAAGAATTTGTCGGCGGTTAGAGTAAAGGAGGAAGGAATTGGGGGAATATTAATGTAGGGTTCAAAAAGCTATTTCAATATTGTATTCTAACCCCTTGGATATTGAAAAACTATTAACATACCTAGAAATGTTTTATAGTCTATAAATATTCTCCACAAATTTAACTTTAAACTTGTAAATATGCGTTGAATTATATGAATTACTATTTGATTGTTCTAATTTCTTTGCACTTTCTTGTTAAACAGTTTTGAAGCATCAAACACATATGTATACACCTTTATTGATAATAGCATGCTTTTAGATATTTTATATAATATTTTAATTTCTAAATAATTTTTATTAATAACATCACAATGAAGTTATGACATCTATGAGAAGGATCTCGATATGTCAATCTAAACTTATGAAGTTGTAAACCACCAATTTAAAGATAAATTTTATATATTATTTTGATTAAATATTATTAATAAATATTTATGACATATTTATGATGTCATTTAAGTTGACCCCGGTCGAACCAATTGACCCTCGACCCCTGAGCTCAGCCGAGTCAATATCCGGTCCAAGTCTGAAAACATAGTGGGTAATATGAGAGGAGGAGAGAATGTAAGTGAGAGATCTAAAATTCGAGACCACTCACTCATATTTTTTAAAAAAAAAATTGTTCTTTGATCAATTATTTCATTGGATTGTAATTCCTAATTTTGTATAATATTCAATATTTTTGATATTTTGATTTCCTTGTGCATCTAGATTTAAAATTTTTTTAGTAGTGAAAAAATGCAAAATCTATAATCTACCAAAGAGTAGTTTTAACTAATTATGATTATTCCATCTAAGCACTTTCTATGTTCAGATTTTACAAAATTTTATAACAAATGAGAATAACTTCTAAGTTATTTTTTTTTAGTAGAGAAAGAGTGTGATTTAAGAAGTGGAAAGAGGATAGGAGGATTTAAACTCAAAATCTCTAGTTAACCAATATTAATATCTCAAGATCACTCTATTCTATAAGTTTAATAAGCTTGAGAAGTTTTGTTTAGTAATCCACAGCATCCCATGAAGCATAATATTTGAAGCATTTGGGTCCAATGGAGGAAACTACTAACCCGATTATGGTTAACGATGCTAATTAGTTCATTTGGAATATCAAGATCAGATTCAGAGAAGGTGCCATTTTCTTCTTTAATTTTGGGGCCTCTAAATTGGAGTGGTCTGTGGAGATAGTTTCATTTTTCAATAATAGACTTGTAAAAAATTCCACATACATCATTTTTTGAGTATCGGGGAAATTAATTGCTGAATGACTTAAATTTAAATCTCGACTCGAATATTGAGAGAATCAAATGTTGACTCGAATACTAAGTCCTTGTTCTTTATCATTTTGCGATCTACTCTTTATCTCTATGTTGATATTGTTTTGTAGAGATTTTATTTATTTTTTGATAAAACAAAAACTTTAATTAGCACGATTTGCTTGACAAACTTAAAGGGAAATTTCACAGGAATTTAGATAAAATTGACAATTTTTGTACAATGAATTAAACAATGCACAACTGTCTCTTTGAAACCCAAAGTACATTGAGAATATGCTGATCTAATAAAGCCAAATGAATATCCTCAATTATCATGTCTAAACTAGATAGAAGGTCTAGATTTATTCATCTTTGTAGAATCCCAATTTTAGGGTTCTAATAATAATCAATGTATGCAAGGTTACAAAATTAAAGTGATAAAACAAATACTCACATATATATGTGGGAGAGAAGAAAATAATTATGACAGGTGTCGGCCTGTACAATAATAAATACTTACTCGAGAAAAATACAATTTTTATTATAGCGGTAAGCAGGGTCGAATCCATAGGGATTGGGGATAATTTATTTCTTTTAGAGTCCCGAGTATGGGGTTTTTATAAAAATATAAAAATAACTAATTAACTAAATATAAGCAACTCAAGAAAATAAATAGGAATTAATCAACAATAGAGACGACTCTAGCCAAAGGTGTAACTTTCAGACAGTGGTCCATTCAACTGATCATCGATTCAATGATCAATCGATGCAATTAATTCAATTATCAAACATATGTAGACTAAGTGCTTAGGAAGTTGTCCGATGGTGTGTTTTGTTTGCTGACAAGTCATTTGATGATTTGCTGAAAAGTGGTCGTTCTCCATGCGCCTTTCACGTGACCTGCTGCTTGCAATTGTTGGCCTGTGGATTGCATCTGTGAGCCACCGAGCCCTGGCTGAAAAAAATTAACTCCTTCAATGGAACCCAGGACCGGACTCATAGTGGTCATAATAATAATAATAATAATAGTGTTAGGCTTGTAGTGCTGATAATAAATCTACTCTGCTTCCCATTTTACCTAATGTCAGGTTTTTTGTGAGGTTAGAGTGTGTATTTGGGTCAATGTGACAACTCATGTTTTACCTATTTACCCTTGTCTTACATGTTTATTTACTTTTTTTTGGTGGGTTGACTTAGTTTAGCTGTTGTTGGGTTATAGATGTCAAAATAATGCTTTGTCACTGTGTAACTTTTCAGCCATGCGTCCCTTCTTTGCCTCTTATACTTTCGAACATTGTCCTCCGTATGTCTTTGGAAGCTACTCCATACTTTCTGTCCTGGATTTTGCAGATGCCATCATGCTTTGTGGTTGGTTTATGCATCCGGTGATCATTTTCCCTCTTTTGTTCTGTTGTTTCAGCTATAAGGTTGGTTTGCTCTTTTTCTCCTGCTTGGTTCTCTGTTCTTTTGGAGCTTTCATTTCTATTGTCCAATTTCAAGGTAATTATCTCCGCCAGTTTTTTTCTTTTCGGCTTATATGCTGTTTACTGTTTCTCCTTATCAGCTGTGGCGGCATTTGATATTTTAGTCACTGACTTTGTTCCTTTTTCCCCTGTTTCCGTGCTGATGAATGCTGATCCATGTATGCCGTTGCTATTGTGGTAAGCTCATTTTAAAACAAAAAAAAAAAAAGAAAGGCTTTCCCCGCCTCTTTGTTTTTTTTCCAATATCTCATCTTTCTGTGCTTGTCATTTCCTCTTTTACAGCTTTATTTGATGTCCTTGTACTTGGGATTTTCTGGCATTCTCGTTCTTCCGAGGACGCTGCTATGGAGCTGATCTTCTGTTATGTGTTATGGCAGGAATTTGGTTGCAGGTCAGATGCTTGTTTCTTTGTTTGCTTGCCTTTTCCCTCCTTCTGGCTGCATTAGTTGCTGGCTATTTCTTGCCTCCTTCCTGGTCATTTCATACTTTACATATTTTCCCAAACATTCATGGCTTCTTCAGAATCTTCATGCTTTCTTTAGTGTTTTTGTTTGGTGCATTGTTTAAGCTTGCTTTACCGTTTTTCGCTCCCTACATTTTTGTACTGTAGATGGTGTTCATGCATGTCTTCATCTTTTGATTGTTTAATTTCTTACATCAATTCACGTGTGTTCTGTTCTTTCCCTTGGTTTCTGCTATGTTCTTTTATGCTTATTGTCGGTTCTTACGAAGTCATCATATCTGGAATGTTCCTCCTTAGTTATCTTAGTGAAATGGATAAAAATGCTCTGCGCCAAAAGCGTTATGCGGAAATGTCTCCCAGTGCCAAGGCTGCACTTTTGTGCCGGAGACGTGAAGACAGGCTTCTTAAGAAAAAAGACAAATCTTCTCGCTCTTACCTTCGTAGTGTACCGTTCGGACATGTTGAAACTGGTGTTTGTTTCTCTGGTTCTGCTCCTGCTCGTAACGACCAGCTAGCAGGCTGCCATAATGAAGTTGTTGATGGTTGTCCTGCTGCGCTTCAAGAATCGTTGGACTATATGTCTGCCTATCCCTGCCTCACTCTGTCTATCTAGTGGAACTTCTTCCTCTCCTGTTGTCCCACATTTAGTTCAATGTAGTTTAGTTCCTGAAGGTATATACCATCGCAATATTCTAGCTCCCTTCCCCCAA